TACTTAGTCACCCTCTCCCCTTATGGAGCTTTTCAGGGATAAGAAAACAGATAATCCAAAAAGGAAACATAACAAGATTAAGAATCTCATCCCAATAGGCAGGTGGCGAACCAGTTGGCTGTCAAGTATTTTAATTCAAGACTACCAAAAACAAATTCAGCTGGCCGTCAGAGAGGTACTTGAATTTGGGACCCTCCTGAATACAGCGAAGTCCAGCGCTCTCACTACTCTCAGCCACGCTGCCACCTTAGAAGTGGTCTCAGAGAACTAATTTTAGCTAACGGTTGATAGGTTGTCTTCAAAGGATAGCTTATTATAGATAAAAACGCCAAGATTCTTCAAGAAATCGTTCATTTCTATAGCAGAGTCGCCAATATGAATAACATGCGGTTTCGTAAGAGGCATTAAAATCACTGCACATGTGCTTGGTGTTTCTTTCCATTGACTGTCAAGTGATATCAAGCAACCAGCAGGGGCACCCAACGACAATTTTCGGAAAAATATATGTTCGGAAGACGATTTGAGATCTAGAATTTTCCGAACATTTGTTGTAAAATTTCTTGCTTCCCTGCCTCTCCTAGGATTTTCGGACATCTAAAAAATGGTATTGTCTATTTTTAACGGATTTTTACCCTAAAAAGGCAACCTAGAATTTTCGGGAGCCTTTTTTCTGGCTAAAATTTTCGAAAAAGTAAGTTTTGGTCACTATAATTTTCGGATCACTTGACTCTCAGCTAAGAAATCCGAACAGATGAAAATTTTAGGGGATAAAAATATGCCTATATCTACCGTTTAAATACTAAAATACGTTAAACAATTCTACGTTTAAGTGGTTTTGAACTATATTCTCGTTGGGTGCCCCTTAACCAGGATAAAAGCTAACTTATTACGACCTTGGATTTATAGAAATATACGTATTAGATGCGTAGATTCTCGAGGGAGGAGACTTGATTAGCTGCAAAGTTTAAAACTACTAAGTCGTATATGTAAAACAGGAGTGGTTTGAGGAGGATGTCTTGAGAAATAACCAGAATATACAAATACACAAATAGCAAAACAAACATTGCTAACCTTCACTCCTTGCTTTCCGAATCAGTCAAATGGGATTGCAAGAAAGTACTTGCCTCTTCACCAACACCATAAGCACCTAGATTTGCTAAAAAGAAAGTTATGACAAATCGAATCAAGGGTTTAAACAAATCAAAAGCAATAGTGCTGGCTGATTAGTCTGAAATGGAATTTCCTAGCAGTCTAAGAGATAAACGATTTTCTTCGGTCGGCATTCTTTCCTCTACCAAGAAATCCTTCAGCTTGTTTCTAATCTTACAAATAAAGCGTATTACACTGAACATGATATAATGGCTCCTATACAAAGAAGGGGTTACTCAACAGAGCTCTAGAATTGCATTATCCAATGATTCAGTTTTTAATGATTTAAAACCCACCAACTTTCATTGAGGGTACCCGGTTGGCTTATTGCCGCCCCATTTGATGGTTTGCACGTGACGTCACGGCGGCAATGTTGGTGGTCAAGAACAAAAAGCATTTCTCTCCTCTAGAAACTAAACTCTATTTTCATGTAAATTCTTCGAAAAAAAAATTATATTACATTGAACCCCAACATGGCTGCCTTGTCACGTGGCTGCAAACCAAGAGACTCAAAAGCTTGTGGTGCCCTGTCAGCTTCACGCTCTTATCGAAATACAAGAAAAATAACCTCTATACATCTCTTTTTCTTGACAATACATAACTGTACTATGAAAATCAAGAAAAAAAGCCAAATTAAAACTAAACCACTTTCTGTGGCCAAAACAAAACCTGGCGATCCAGGTCCCTTAATAGGCCCTTTGCAGCTTGCCATTCTCGTGGTACAAAACTGCCATGCTGGGACGCAAAATTCGCACTAGGACAAGACAAACAAAGGAAATTGCCATTTAAAATTATGTGTGCCTTTTGTTGGTCTTGCCCCAGTGCGATTTTTGAGTCCCAGCATAGCGGTTTTGTACCACGTGAATGGCAAGCTGCAAAGGGTCTATTTGGGAGTCTCTTGGTGTAAGGGAAACCATTGTTGGTAAGCTACTGTTTTGTGGTGTGGTTATTGTTTCTGTCTTTTCAGTCTTTAGTAATGCGTCCGCTTATCCCCTCTTGGTCAAATGGTGATCACACCCGTTCGCAACACGAAGAAACTACTCAATTCTCGTTGTTTATTATTAATAATTCCTTTGTTCAGTAGAAAGTGACAACAGACTAATATCATCTGTTCTACAAACAAGGACATTATTCTGCCCTTTGTATCTAGTATGCAATTACCATGTTTAAAAACATGTTTTATTTGCATAAAGGTTTACACTAAAAATGTTATAATGGAAATTGTGAACTTACACTACTTGCTAAGACTTAAGTCAATATTATTCCGTTTCAGTGCTCGTTATTTATCAAAAAAATTTCAAAAGCTCGACTTTAAGAAAAACGTTTACTGATATCAATTTGGGAAAAACTACTTTTCTCGGGGTTTGCCTCTGTTTAATATGCATTACTGACATATACAAGTATCATCTTGGGTAAAGATGTCTGCTTTAAACTCATTTGGACGGCTCTAGCTCTTGACTAGTCTAGATATAGTCATAGCTTTCACACCATGAATTTTAACTGAGTTCACTTTAGCAAATATCGAAAATGAAAACTTCTTTCTTACTTTAATCCGTTGATGCGTCGAAATGTCGGATAGAAGTACTTTTCTTTTTTGGTTTTGTTTAAATTCGCCCAAGGATTGACATAAATCCCAGAGAATCATTTTCTTTAGGATTAGCGAAAAAATTCTGTTCTTGCGCGGCTCGTGAACAGTAAAATTAAATTTAAGCCGGCATGAATCGTAAACAATACTTTTAAACAATTAATTTTATCTTAGGCACTGGCCATGGTTTAATGTTTTGCTAACCAGATACATTTTTGTGGGTCTGTGAGACTACTATTTCTTTAGAATTTGTCAGTAAAAATTTCTCATTGCCACCGGATCCTACGGTGGTCGTTCAGGCCTACACTTTCTTTAAATTATCATGGGCAAATGCGGTGTCACCTGATGTCACAGGCTAGGGCGGACAGGATTTTCTCAGACGCGACAAAACTGATTGAAGTAACTTACTAGTGCCTGAAAACTCTAACACGTAATGTCACAGCACTGCGCTTGCGCATACCCTGATATTTGCTTGATAAGTTGTCTGCAAAGGGTCCAAATTCCTCACAGATCTGGCTACATTAGGATTTCAACAAGAAGGAGTTACCTTTGAAGCGTAAACAGGTTAGTTGATTGGAAACATTAATCCCTGAATTTATATATCAGTTATCGGTACCCTCCATCGATTTTCACGTGATGATGAGGAAATTCTTTCCATTAAGCGAGAATATATCTTTACGTGAAGTAATTTGATAAAGGGTAAGAGGATCTTGGTAAGAGAAAATGCTTTTTGTATAGTGAGGTAGGTATCCGTAATGAAGGATTGAAAAATGTTTCTTATTTCCAAGTATATTTTCTTACAAGTTAAGCCCGTTTTCTATTCTAATCTTTCTATATTATTATTATTTCAATTTTCCATTCTAATATTCGAAAAAGTTTTGAAATAATGGTCACTTTAAAATGAAGGATGAAAGCTTCTTTGTATCTTTCTTGTACTGTATTTATCAACAAAGCTACAAGATGGCTCCTTTGCCCTACTTCTTTTTTTTTTTTTCTTTTTAACAAATAGCCAACACACGTCAGTTTCTGGTAATCTCGAGACAAAGTCGACCGCTGCTCCCCTGTTACGATCGGCAACGATTAACAGCTGTAATAAGGAAGTAATTATGTTTTGGGTAGAGCCGGTACCTGAAAAACAGGAGAAATTCAATGCCGTGTCTGTCACGAAGAAGCGTTTTAAAATACCCTTGTGTCTTTGATTTTCGAAGTACGGCTGTGTCGGTTCTGAAGAGGGCATATTTGACGCTTCTATTACTTAGGGAAAATTTTTATCTAAAAAGAAAACGATTTATAACCCATAAATGTCTGAAAAAGATAACTTTCCAGTGATTTTTTTTCTTCCTGATTTGCAATCTGTTACCATTTTATGACATTTTTGAACCATCTGGTTGCTTTGTCAAGAGAGGATCTGTCATGAAACGCACAGCTTCGGGTAACCTGAGGCCAGACTCAAACATCATTTCACAATTTCACAGTCTCCGGTGAAAATATTTTAGTCCCGCGGCAGATTGCTGAAATTAGGGTTTCGTTCTCCCATCATCACAGAAAGGGTTTGACAACGGTTTTATAGAGAACAAGACCTCCTGAATAGGACCTTGCAAAATGGTTTCGGTAAGTGTTCGTTATTTGTTTTATCAGCAAATGGATGAAAAAATCAAAACATGGAAATTTATTTTTCCCTCCAAAGAAAACCCTTATATGGAGAAGGCTTTGTTCGATTGGCCAACGTGTCGCAGTATGACGTCAAAGCGAAGTATCGATTGATTTCTAGAAATTTCTCGGGCATGAAGTTTTTTCACCGGAGCGTTCGCTGAACCAACCAAAAGCCACGCGCGTTTGTATCCGTTCGATAAACCAGTCAAATTGCTGTATTTCCGTTCGTTTGTTGTTTCTGTTTTGTTCGCGCGTTTTCATTCCAAGGTCATACGAAAATCGCTGTAATGTTAGGTAGTTCCTAGTGTCGATTTGTGTTATAGGTTTTGATTTATGGGTTGTTTCTGACGTCCCTTTAGTCTACACAAGTAAACGAGGCTACAACTGTAGATAGTCAACTGGCGCTTTTTGGGCATTTTTCGTCTGAAAAATAACTATAAGCAGCACTAACTGTCTCTCAACATTAACTGTCGCTAATAGCAATAACTTTTGACTAAAATGTTATGTCAAACTAGAATAAAAAGATCTTAGCGAGCACTTAGTTCTAAGTCAAAACAAAAAAGAGAATTATACATTTCAATCCTCAGATTTCCAAACACAGCCCCACTCAAGTATGGGGACCAGTGCAGTGGCATTGTTTATTTCAGCCGCTCTCTTTTTTTTGAATCCTATCATTCCTACTTGGGGATTTCGATCTCGAGTTGCATGGCAAGAAAATCGTGTAGCCTCTGACTTTAAGCATGTCTCACATGGATTGGTCCAAAGAACAATGGTCCCAGACCCTGACAGACAGACTATCCAAGATGCCCTCGACAGAGAACTGGTCAGAAGGGGAGTACAGAAACTCTGGGATGGCCTAAAAAATACGTCACCAAAGGTAGTGACCGAAACAGATATTCCTGGAAAGGGAAAGCGGGTAAAATTCGCAGAAAGTGACAGCATTTCACTTGGGGAAGCTTTTCAGTTTATGCAGTTTTACCCCCTTATTTACGGTGAAGAGAACGAACCGACAGAATTCGACCTACCAATCGCAGGCGAAATCCAGAAGTTTAAGCTCGCTAACGAAAAAGGCGGCACTTTTTCATTGAAAGCTATACGAAAAGATGGCAGGGAAGTGGATCTCTCAGATCTCCAGGGTGCCGTTGACGAATTGTCTGACCCCAACCTGAAGGATGCTTTAAGGAACACGATAGAGACCGTGTCTAAAACATTATTAGAGAAGAAATTAAACGAACAGCCAGATTTCATAGAGGAATTAACAAAACAAGACAAAACAGGAACGATCACAACCCAGGAAAGGGATGACGCGTTTCGCGCAACCATAGATTTTTTTGCTGGTTCTTCCGTAAAGAGGAACCAATTGGCCGGCCTTAATCCATCAGATTGGTTGAAGACCACAAATAAAGCCCTTAGGGAAACAATGGAAGTCTTGAAGAAGGAATTGAGCAAGAAGATATCGAACGTACATGAGACCAAACTGAAGTTCGAATTCACTCTGAGTATGCTCAAAACAAGTCAGCAAGCAATTGACGAGTGGGAAAAGTTGAAGAAAACCGACTCTTTAATTAGTAACAAGAAAATCGTTGAGGAGGACACGGTGGTAACAGGGAGAGGAGAATATAAAAAAGTGACAATCCACGAAACTGATCAGAAAACCGTGAAGGATATTTTTAAACTACTACAATTTTATCCTGATATATACAAAAGTCAAGGAAGAAAACAAACAAGGTTCGAAGTTCCAATTGGCGGTGAGAAAAGAGAATTTCGTTTAGCCACGAGTGGTCCAAGAGGTGGTAAACACCAAATAGTCGTATATACCTCTGATGATGATTGGCCTGGTACCACTAAAAGAGGCACACAAGGCAGCCTTTGGCTACCTAGCTATAATAAAATGGTAGATAAAGTTCTTACTAGGTTTCCTAAGCAACAGAAACTAGCAGAATCTATGGTGAAAGCAGTTGATCAGAAACTTAACGGGCAACCTGATTTCTCCAAAGATCTAGAAATTACAGGACAACCTAAAAGAACTGCGGACACCACGCGAGCTGCTGTAGAATTTCTGGTTGTTACAATGATCGCAGAAGCCGCTCAGCCAGCGGACGAGACCAAAACCAGTTTTATAAAGAAACTTGCTCAGACGATAAGGAATAAGGGAGGATTTCCAAAGAGTAAGGATATTCCAAAACTGTCAGAGTTAAAAGACAAGTCGGGTAGAAGTCCAGGGATGGACGAAGTTGTCAGAAGAATGCTTAAGGAAGTCGAATCTTCAAATCCCTTTAAAGAGGTCTTCAGCGAAGGGAATTTTAAAGTTAGAAGAAATCCACGTGGAACACACTATGGGCGCGAATATGGGCATGCACAAGGAAGCAAGTTAGTGCTTTCATACGAAGCTCGTAAACGTGTGGCTGAAGACTCCGTTGGAGACGTTGCTGCTGCAAAATTGGCCAAAGAATGCACGGGAACAAGCCGCAGAAGAAAGCGGTCTATTTGTTCACTAATTGATGAAGGCTCCTTTGATATCGACAAGGAATCTATTAAAATTGTTGAGGACTCAGTTGAATTTGACATTGTAGATCGCCGAAATGCCAAAGAAAGAGAGCACGTTAAGTTAAAAATAGACCCCAAAGAACTAGCCACAACCAAGTTGTATAAAGACCTTCTATCTAACTCTAGAAGAGCTGGCGTAAAAGCCAAATATGCGAAGGTGAACAAAGGACTTGCCATTCATGGTCTGATATTTTCCTTTCTCGGCGCTATTAACTACTTCGAGGAGGGTGACTATGTTCGAGGTGCCATTTCCGGGGTTCAGTTTGCTCACACACTGGGAGGACTAACAAAAAAGATTATAAGTAGTGCTGCTAAAGGCTTGGCAAAAGAATTAAATTTCGAGAAAGGATTGGAAAGGTTATCCACCAAGGTGGAAAGGATCACTGAGAGGGGAGTTGGAAGGCTGCTGGGTGCCATCCCTGTTGTTGGAATTGCATTCGATATCTATTTCATTGAACAAGACATAGAACAATTGGCCGATTTAAATCTAAATGACCCCGAGGACCTCAAACTGTTTCCATTAAGAGTGATTGATCTAGAACTGGACGTTTGCACCACGGCGCTTAATCTAATAGGAATGTTTTGTCCGGAGGCAGAAGTTATTACTGAGCCTCTTATTATCGTCCTGTCTATAATACGAATGGCTATTGATGACTTCTACATTGATATAATGGAAGAGATAGAAAAAGTTGATTGGAAAAGTCCATGGGCCGGATTAGAATTCCTTGGAGCTCTTGTGAAAGGCTTTTTGGAGGGAGCTGCAGATTTCTTAACGGGTGGACTACGAAGGCAGATGGAGTCTTACAGCAAACAGGAAGAATTTGACAAGGAGCTCATAAAGAATCTTACAAACCCGGAAAGCTATTACAAGATTGTTGGGGAAACACAGGGAGGAGGGGAAACGATCGACTTCACCCAAGGAATGCTATCAAGTATGGGTGGCTATATCAACTTTAGGCTACACGATAACAACCGGGCTACATTAGAAATCGGAGATGTCTCTGGCAGCCATGAAACAATACGCAAGACATTCACAGTTGGCTCTAACCTGAAGGATATTATTCTTGGTATAGGCGAGTCTAGGAATTTCCAGTACAAACACGAAACTGCCAAGTTGTGGTTCGTGATTCCAGTCAAGTCTTATGATGTTATTTGTGGGGCTAATCTCCATGAAAAATCGATTTACGGAACTTATTATGGAAACTCTAAGAATAACACTTTTTACGCGGTACAGCATCAGAAGCCGACAACAAAACCGACTGGAAAAGACAACGAGGACGAAGAGTGTAACTTTGGAAATCTTAATCTTAAGTTTGTAACTGGAAATTACCATTACAACCTGTATGGAAGGGGTGGTAACGACACATTTTATCTCGGACCAGAAATGTCCACTGTCACAGGAGGATCTGGGAGTGATCTCTTTATTATCCAATCAGACGGCGGAAAAACAATCATTGACAATTTTGCTGAAGATAACAAGCGCGACATCATTATAATAAACGTTGCTTTTGATAATATTCAGTGTCATCAGAGTGGAACTGACCTTGACGTAACCTATTCTATGAGTCATCACATTCGTATCAAGAACTGGTTCTCTGCTGGAGATCCAACCTACTACCGCCACGTCTCATTTCGCAGTAAGGATGGAGTAATATTCGTTCCAAAACAGACCTTGGATAGCGATGATATTCATGTCGTTTTGTGTGTGGCAGTGGCTCTTGATCTAGGTAGAGCAAACACAACTCAAACTGTTTTTCTCAATAATACGAAATATAATCAAGTGAAACAAGTCTCAGGTTCAAATAGCTCTGACACCATTATTGGCAATGACTTAAGCAACATCCTAGAAGGAGGTCGTGGTGCTGATCACTTGACTGGGGCAAAAAACGAAGATACCTACATAATCAGAGCAAATGAAGGATGTGATATTATCGATAACAATGCCGAAGATTATGCGAATACCACTGATATAGTTGTGTTCGAGGTGCCTTTCGATATGATAGATGTTCAAACAGAGGGAAATGACCTCTCTGTAACTGACAGGAACAATCCTCAAAGCTCATGCTTTACAGTGAAAAAATGGAGATTAGGAAACCAATACAGACATATTCTTTTTACCTCTGGAGACCACGTTGTCTTTAATGTTTCTTCCAGCGAAAGTGCGAGCGTATTCAAAGTACCTATCATGCTAGACTACAAGGACTCCCTAGTTGGGATCTGCGTTGACTTATCGGATTTACCCAGTCCAAACTGCATCAAACCTAATGGTTACGACAAAGTCGCCACTGTTTCCGATTCCGTCCATAACGACCATATAGTTGGAAATGCGCAGACCAACTTTTTGAGCTGTAGTGGAGGAGAAGATTACCTTGAGGGTGGCGAAGGTACAGACAACTATGTTGTCAAGGAAACGTGTCAAAAGGCAAGCATAAACAATTTTGACAATCGCGAAAAACTTGATTTGCTGTATATAGTGGATTCATTTGAGAACCTGCAGCTGCAAAAGGACAATGATCATTTACAAATTACCTCATATCATCAAACACCGACTGTGGTACTTCGAAATTGGTTCAACTCTTCTGTTAACCAGCACCTTGGAATAAGAACTATTGACGGCATTACATTACGAATAAATAGTACCGCAGTAAGATTTGAGCCTTATGAAATATCTAAAGATCCCACGGAATGCCAATGCAAACACCCAGGATGTTACAGGGGGCTGATAACCTATAATCTTGACAGTGATCCGTGGCAACATGTTGTCCGTTTCCAATTAAAGTCAAGTCACTGTAGTTACAAAATATATGGGAATAATCTAAACAATTATCTTGACCCAGGAGCAGGAAATGGTTATAATTACCAGTATTTGGAAGGAAAGAACGGATCGGATACTTACGTGTTTAACCACGGATACGGCGAGTTTAATGAAATCAATAACTATGCAGATGACAACAAGACAGATGGCCTTGAGCTTGGCATAGAATTTGACGACATTCAGGTTTTTTTCCACGGCCAATATGATGTAATTCTTGAATCTAAAACACGACCCAGCTCACTAACTGTTCGAATTCTGGACTACTTCCGCGGTGTGAAGTATCAGCATCTCCAGGTCATCTCAGCAGACAACGTTGTTTTTAATATTTCCAAACATTATCCATTTACAATGATAATCGTGGTAGACCGTAGAAACGTCGATTCGCCACAAATGATTGATCCTCAAAGGAACGTTATAATCGCGACTGCTGAAGATATAAAGGGATCCCTTACCTCCGCCAATAACCTGACGGGTAGTAACACAACAATAGCATTAGTAGGCGGTACTCAGGCCGATATTCTACGTGGCGGAGAACTGGGAGCAGTACTTGATGGCAAACAGGGTAACGATACGATTTATGGTGGTGCTGGTTATGATCTTATATATGGTGGGGATGGAAATGACGTCATATATGCCTCAGCAGGAGATGACTTTATTTATCCCGGCAACGGAGCTGACATTGTCGATGGAGGCAATGGCAGTGATACTTTAGCTTTTAAAGGTGACAGCGTTCTTAAGATAGGAGTTACGGTTGATCTCAATTTTGGATTTGGAAAGGGCGCGGATGCAGAAGGCGATGTCTACAAGAGCATAGAAAACGTATATGGGTCAATTGAAAACGACGTCTTAATTGGATCTGATTCTGATAACATGCTGTACGGCTTTGACGGAAACGACACCCTGACTTCTCTTGGCGGTGATGACGTACTTGTAGGTGGTGAGGGAAAAGATTTATATTTACTCTATAAGGCTTCAGGGATAAAAGTCATCGACAACTACGCAAATGATACTATTGAAGACACCCTTTCCTTGGCTCATCTGAACTCCACTGATGTGTGCGCTTTCTTAGTTGGCAACGACCTACACCTACAACTTGACAGGTCTGACTTGGCCTCTGTTTTTTTTCACGGTGAACTTTTGACGGTCATAATTTTAAACTGGAACGTAAGTGCAGATTACAGACACCTTAAGGTTCTATTTAATGACACTCTGTGGGAAGGATTCGCTTTATCTGGCATCGCCCCGATACTGGACCAGTTAGGAAAGAGTGCTAACTATGTCCAAAACAGTACAAACTTGCAGGTTGTCTCTACAACCAATGCTAGTGTAAGTTTCTCTTGGCTTCAACCAAGCAGTGTTTTGACACATCCAAATACTGAACTGTACCTTGTACATTTTAAAAAATTAAATCCTTCAAGTCTTAAGAAACAACAAGTGCAGACTGAAACATCATTAACCATTTCCTCTCTTGATCCAATTTCTCACTACGTCTTCGCTCTGGCATTAACAAAATGCAACGCAACACTTGCCGTATCCCAAACACTTATAACCTATGGACGCGAAAGATCCTGTCCAACAATAAAAATACCTCACTCTGCTGTCCAGTATATTCCAGCCTCCTCTGCAACAAGTCCAGCTCATGGCACAATTGCGAAAGTGGAATGCAACGCAGGTTATGACATTCGCGATCGTCACACCGAACAAAATGCCACGTGCTTAGACAACGAATGGATCCCTTCCCTTCCGGTTTGCAAGAAGATAAAGCGATGTCCTGTTCTTACCAAGCCATCCAACGGAGAGGTTTTCACTAATGGGCATAAAGAAGGATCTACAGCTAATTATGTTTGCCACAAAGGATTCCTACTCAATGGAAACAAAGAACGCACCTGTGTAGATGAAGACTGGGACGGCACCGCTCCTCATTGCCAACCGTTAAGTTGCCCTAGACCACCAACTGATGAAAATGGCTCATATCTTCCCTGTGATTATATGGAGCATGCAAAGAACTATGGCACCGTTGATAGACCTCTTGAAGGCTATTGTGTTAAGCTTGAGTGCGCCAACTTGTTCCTTCCAAGTCACGTATTTCGTGGAGAAACCTATCGTCCTCGATGGGAAAGCGACTGGGAAATACCACAGGGTGGTCGGGTTTGTAGCGATGGAAAGTGGATTGGTTATGTGGACGACGTCTGTGAACCTACTACTAGACTTGTGGATGTGGAAGATCATTGGAATAAGAAACGCGGTACACTTCAACTTTGGCAGAATGGAGCTTGGACGTTCGCTTTGTCTGCCCCGGACCAAAGCATTCTACATCTTTCCTGTAAAAGTGTCGGCATAGATGAACCACAATATGTAGCGTCCACCAGCTCGATTGGCTCCAGAAGACTGGTGACATGCTCCAAGCTGCGCCTTACACAACCGAAGCCTACTATATATGAAGGAAAGATTGAGGTGTTAAAACACGGTAACTGGGAGGGAGTGTGTGTGCCAGAAACGGGGACAGCAGGGAGTCACACTGCAAGTCTTGAGACTTGTGAAGCACTTGGCTTTAGTTATCATTCTGCGATTGTGAGCATTAGTACTGGATGGACAGATAACCAGCTGGTCTGCTCACCGTAAGTACACATTTGATGCTTTAATTTTGTTTCTTAAAAATTAGAGGTGCATCAAGTGCAATAAATATTCTATTTTAACTTGCTTTTATATGTCGGAATGCAATATTTTACAACATAGTACGTAGTGGGAGTATTCTGGCTCTTTAGTTCACAGAATAGTATTAAACAATTTAGCCTTGTAATTTGTATAAATGTGTTAACTGTGTAATCCTGTGAACTGTTTTGTTTGCCGAAGCCAAGAAAGTGTTACTCAACATTATTTCAGTAAACAAAAGGAAAACCTAATTTGCTTCCACTTTCAACACACTATTAACTACGATTTATTTGGCGATTCACAAAGCTAGTTTCGTCTAACGGCCTCTTCAGCTGATCCCCACAGTATTCAAAATAACAAACACTTTACGTAAAGGTGATATTATGTTTTCAAATTCCAAGCATATTTTATGATTGTTTTTCGCATTTAATACAAACTAAACCAGAGTGCAACTTTGAAGAATGAACTGTTTCTTAACCGTTTGCTTTACATGGAGAATCCTAACCTAGCTGTTGCCCTGACAATGATAATATGACGTAGACGCTTCCTGCTAATTCCTATTAACTTTTTTACCTTGGCCATTAATTTGAAATGATGCGATGATTGCCTTTCTTGGCATCTAAATTCATAACATGATAACCAAATTCAAGCTGAACTCATAGTGCAACAGATAAATATATAGCTAGCGGCCTATTTTATTGTATTGCGCTAAAACTAGGAGATGCAATTTGGAGGCTAGGAGAAGATACTGTGGTACTATGGTACGATGCAGACAGAGGTGTACTAACAATTACCCAGTTCCTCATGGCTATCCATCGTGTACAGGAAAATACGAAGATGACACATGCACGGTTCATTGTTACCACGAATACAAACTCTTTGGAGACTCTAAAGTTTATTGCAAAGGAGGAGTATGGGCAAGGAGAAATGGGCAAGCCGCTTCATCAGACTGTAAATATATAGGTGAGTACCAAAAGCATTGAGCATTTTGAATCTTGTGTCTTGTACACGAAGTCTTGCACGCGTAATCAGTTCTTGTTTGCAAAAAGAGGCTCACAAAATACCAATTTTTCTAGCTTAAAAAGTAAGCCTAACCGAAAAAAATTGACACAGCATGTTTTTCAAAGGTTTCCAAGTTTCAGCAGACGAGGGAAAGATTGAATAAAGTTACACTTGTCGCGTTTTCAGCTCAAAACCTTGTTTTTAATTCGTGCTTGCTAGCTTGATTAGCGCGCGAATTAGAGCGTCACAACCATCTTTACGTGTACATACTCTCATACAAACATGCCTCTCGGCCAATCAAAGCGCCGGTACTACCACTAGTTATTGTACAAAGCAATATACATTCAATGTATATTTATATAGACTTCTCTTTGCCAAAGGTGACACGGTGTTTTGTGTATATACGATGGTACATTCCCATTGCTCGAATAGAAAATAGGATGGGTTTAATAAAAACCCGTAGAAAATACATACAGAAACAATGTAATCACCCTCGGAACTTGCCAAGTGAACCCAGAGGACAACAGGTGGAGGATCGGCGGAAGATGATAAAGACAAACAAATAGGATATTCTTAGAGGCAAGAAGTTGAAATGTTACCCCAAACTACCTGAGTGGTAAATGCAACGATAGTGCCCTATAATACGGAAAGATGCCTTGACCATGTCTATATCAATAATTTTTTCAGCGACCCTCGCCGAGGACGATGTCCAGAGGCTTGTAAGAGAGAACAAGGGAAAAAGGATCCACGACATGGCAGTATTATTAAGAAATCACTTGGTCAATACTTATCCCACCCAATATTGGGTAGTTACCGTATATAGAGATGTTACTGGCTATGATAAACACGCTTTTATTGGTGCAAGCTCTCGTGTTAGCTATAAGTTTAGGCATTATGGTTATAACTATGTTGTCACTAGATATCCTAAACATTCCGCTCGCAGACCCAGTGTATCAATTAGCAGCGTAGTAGGCTCCATAACTGGAAATCACGCTAAAATTGTTCGTGATAGTATTAAGAATAAGTTTCGAGATCGCGGTCTTACGTATTCTTCCATACATGTGGTGAAACGGAGATGGTCAGACGGTTGGTTTTTCGTTTGGACTAACTACGGAATGGTTCTTAGCACTTCGGTAAATATTGCCTCCCACAACTATTTCTGGAAAAGGTTCTCGAATGTAATAGTCATTGTTGTAGCTCCTTATTAAAGCAACGGTTAAGCGGGCAACAAAACCGTGCAACTTCTTTTGCAACAATGTCGCTGAGAACTAGTTGAAAAGCAAAGTGGTGCGTTTTACCAACCAAGTTCAAATCTGTCTTGTAACAAAGCAGGTTGCATGTTGCGTGAATACTGACTTCTGACTGGGCAAATTACGCGAGAGTCAGGTCATACACAGGAGCCACGTCACCTGCTGCAAAACAAATTTGTCTTGGGCCGGTAAACGTGCAACAAGGACAGATTTTGCTGTGAGCAGCAGAATTGTTCTTGACTATACTTTATGCAACAAATATTAATTGCAACTCAAAGTAAAATGACTCGGTGCAGCTCAGTGAAATGAGTAGGTAGTAAAACGCCAACATCGCTTTTCAATTCGTTTTCAAGTAATGTTGCAAAACAAGTTGCACATTTTTGTTTCCCGTTTTACCCCACTTTAAGGGAAACTCTGATAAAACATATTCATACCAAAACATGTTGAATAATCGAACTCTAGGACGTACAAGCGAATACCCACCCCCACCATGATACAAGTATCGTTGGAATACCGAACACCTATTCATAATACAATGTAACGATTAAATTACACATAGATCAAAAGTTTATTTGATAGCCTGCTGTGATAGGCTCTAGAAAATGAAAAACTATTATCTGATATGGTGCTGAATGGGAACTTTGACGTCACTGGAAACGGGAACCGACATGGATTTTACTAGATATTTGGGTTTATCAAATGAAGTAAATACTACGTAGTTTTCATGATTGTACATAAAGAATGAATGTAGTGCTTTTGGAGAGAAAAGGTGCGATAAAGATCTACGAGAACCGGCTTAGGGGAAAGAGGATGGCATGTACGTCCGAGGGCTATAAGCTAAAAACATATAAACACATAACAAAAGAGAGAGTTAGAGTCACGTGTCCGGAACAAATTATAGGAAAATTTTCAGATTCAAGTTTAGAATTGAAAAACAATTCTAATGGATGAAAATGTCACGAAACTATTTTTTTCTGCGTGTGTGTGTGTAGAAGCAATTAACGGTAAACGAAAGTTATGGGGGAAACCTGGTCACATAGTGCAAATTCAAATTTGGCGTAAGACGGGAATCTAAACCTCTCTACTGTTTTTAACACATAAATGAGCCTCTCTGTGGGTACCTGTTAACAACATTTTCGTCGCCCGTTTTCCGTCAAATTTCCGGTTTTTGAACGAAATCATCGCACATTACAAAACAGATTGCGTGGTAACGCTTCTAGCGTGATCAAGCAGCCACGAGGACGACGACAGAAGCGAAAAAAATTAAAAGGAACTGGTTAAAAAGTAAAACAAAATACTGGTAACCTGCAGTACTCTTTTTGGCATATTTCCTTCCCTTCATCGCACGATTAATCAGTGTTATCAATCTTGATCGGAATGGCAGTATAATGGTCGCTTTAATCTCTAAGGTCGTGTTTCATCAATAGTGATCGACGCCACTTCGATTTCGTCGGAAATACCCATAAAGAGTCTCATAACTAACATAACTGAAAGCTGTCTATTGACTCTTTAAACCCCAAGATCAAAATTTGAATTCTCATTTGTTGCCTCTATTCATTTCCTACAAAGGTAGTGGGGTGAAGTTGATAAAACATCAAGAAAATTCATCTTGTGTGATTATGTGATTATGTCCGAAATTCTCATCACCACTCTGTTTTACAAAGCATTGATATTACAAAGAGAAATTTGATGCTGATCACTCTTAGGGCTACAAGGGTTAAATGAGGTTCAAACGAGGTTAGTCTTCCTCTCTTTGGGTACAATTTTAAGTAAAAAAGAAACTGTTAACAACCTTTTATGAGTAATACGATTTCAACATATGTTAAAATCCTAAAGGAAGGTTTTAACGCCGTACTTCATACAAGCCGAACGAAGTGCTAAATGAGCAAAAACTATTTTTCTCGTTCATTAGCATTAGGCTGAACTAATGTATTGAAATACGACGTCTAAAGCGAATAAACCCGGATAAAACGTCAACTACTATTTTGCTGTGAATAAAGCTAATATGTTGTAGAAAACACTGCTTTTAAAATATATCTTGATGTATTAAAACTGAAGTGTATGTGAACATCTCTGGGGTGAAATAATAGAATTGCCTAACGTTAAAAGCTGATAAAAACGTTATCAATGAGGTCAAAGAATAAGCGCGAACTCGGCCGTGACTTAAAATCACTGAATGGTGGCTTAACTGTGCAAGTTTTATTTCCTACCGATTTCATATTCCACCCAATCGTTCAGGTTCACTGATTCTCGTGGGAAAATTCATGTGCATATTAATGACTTCCTAGCAACAAACAAAATTTTCCATTTAGCGATTCAGTTGCTTTGCTTCCCTTTATTTATCTATTTATTTATTTATTTATTAATTTTGTTTTCTCTCCCATATCGTTATTACCAACGTTCTATTGTTTTTCCTCCACCTTTACTAATACCACCACCAAATATCTTTTTTCTTCCACCACCGCCACGGTGACCGCATTTCTATTTTTCTCCCCATCACCAACACCTCCACCACATTTCTATTGTTTTCCTCCTCATCGATCAATCCACCACATTTTTATCGTAATTTCCTTCTACCACTCTCACATTTCTGTTGTTTCCTTCCACGATAAATAACCACATCTCTATGGTTTTCCCTCCATCACCACCAACCCCAAATTTCTATCTTTTTTCCTTCCACCACAACTACATTTTTATTGTTTTCTTTATACCAACACGATAAATAACCACATCTCTATGGTTTTCCCTCCATCACCACCAACCCCAAATTTCTATCTTTTTTCCTTCCACCACAACTACATTTTTATTGTTTTCTTTATACCAACACCACCAATTCTGTTGTTTTCCCTTCACCACAACTACATTTTCATTGTTTTCTTTATACCAACGCCACCAATTCTGTTGTTTTCCCTTCACCACAACTACATTTTCATTGTTTTCTTTATACCAACGCCACCAATTCTGTTGTTTTCCCTTCACCACAACTATATTTTCATTGTTTTCTTTATACCAACGCCACCAATTCTGTTGTTTTCCCCTCACCACAACTACATTTTCATTGTTTTCTTTATACCAACACCACCAATTCTGTTGTTTTCCCTTCACCACAACTACATTTTTATTGTTTTCTTTATACCAACGCCACCACTGTTGTTTTCACTTGACCAACACCACCACCATAACTATCACATTTCCATTTTTTCCTCCGCCACCGTCACCTACACATTCCTATTGTTTTCTCTTTACCAACACCAGCACCACCACATTTCTGTTGTTTCCCCTCCACCAGCACCATCAGATTTCTATTGTTTTCCCACCACTACCACCATCACCACTTCATTTCTATTTTTCCCTCCTCGCCTTCAACACCACGTTTCGAAAATTAGAAGGATTTGTATGAGAAATACAATTCTTGCCATCCAGTCACTCTTGATTGGTTTTAAATACAACTCCTTAAAAATTCTGAAATTTTTAAACTGTCGTCAAATCTTACCCTTACGCCTTTAAGGGCTGCAGGTGTCCGTTATGAATGTAAAGGATATTTGAGCCCCCTTATGTTTGAGAAAATATTTCACGACAGTTTGAAAATGTCGAAATTTAAAAGGATTTGTATGAAACACATTCAGGTGTGACTATGTGGCAAAAGTTGTTTTTCTTATACAAATCTAATTTTCGGCGGCTGTTGCAATCGCTACTTTTGACATATACGACTGAAAATTAGCCTGCGAAAACAGCTGAAATTCCACATAAACACTGAATCAACTTTCTTGAATTTACCAGACATGTTTCAAGGGTACATCCGTCATCCTCAGTGTTACATCACAGGTGGCCCAAGCGTAATATGAGTTTGTATTGGGAATGAAACGAAGTTTCAGCGCGATTTGGGTACTTTTACATCATGTGTCTAGTGTCCTGACAATGTAATAAGAAGAGTTATTAAGTTATTAAGTGTTATTATTACACTGTCAGGTCAGATGATGTAAAAGTACTCAAATCGCGCTGAGACGTCGTGAAAACCAAGACAACAACACAGGTAACAATATTTACACTTTATTGATAACTTTTATCGCTTTTAGTTCATATATTTCGTTTAAGTTTCTTTTCCCATACAAACTCTTTATTTCCCTTACAAACTCATAATACGCTTATGCCACCTGTGATTACATATTTTGAAATCGGTGAGGGTAAAAGGAGGAATGAGTTTGCGGAGTGGCATGTGGCATGGCTTGCAGAATGACATAATTATGCGGAATGTAATACATGGAGAATGACTTAAAGAAACAATTGTATTGTAATTGAAATTTGTTTACCCACGGAGCACTAAGGAGTTCATAAGAACTCGTTTAAACGTGTCCGTGCGTTCCAGATCGTGCGTTCCATATTGCTCCTTTTTTGGCGCCAATCAATTCACAAGCAGCCGCTACGTTAATGTTGCGGGCTCGACTACGATGACAATCAAAAAGCCAGGTAAGACTCATTGGTTTCTCACGGTCGATTAGCTTTTTGCACAGCCACAAAGATTCTACTTTCCTTTATTAGTCGGGCTGCCGGCAGCACCGATGCTACATCAGGAAAGTCGGCCATTGAAGAAAAGCTGTTTTGGAAGGTCACACTCTCTTCTTCTTTAATTTTTTTCTGCAAAAGATATTTGCACGATTAAAGTCACTTTTTTACCTTTATTTTCATTTGAAACCGTGTGAGAAGTGTTTCCCTTTCAGACGGTGGGTCGCGTGATTGTTCGTAACGTAATATTCAAAGATCGAACGTATCCTTATTGTTTTCTTGACTGAGTGGTGACGTTTCAGGCACGCGAAGCTAACAGCTGGCTGAGAATCGCGAGCTCGAATCCTGGCAGTCGAGTTTGTGTGCTTTTTGTCTTTCTTTCTTTCTTTTCTTTTTCTTTTCCTTCCTACTTTTAGCATTTTTTCTCCTTTACCTTTACCTTTATTAAGTTAGTAAAGCCGGTTCGGCATCACACCAGCTATTAAAAAAAAAATACAAACCCATCAAAAAAATACATATTAATGACTTGGGTAGTTCAAACAAACATGGGAGGTGCGAAGAGACGCGGAAAGGAGGCAGAGAGCAGTTCGCCACTTCACTCGATTTGTGGATTACGGATTAACGTTTCACTCGAGGCGTTCGTTTAGTCTCGAATATTATCTGATTCGTTCACCTTATTAAAAATCCCTAGAATATTTGCTAGCCCGACTTCACGTTGAGCGAGCGTTTTTTACCCTCTGGCGTTACCATAAAGAGTGACCTTGATTTGAGTTTAGCCAAGTAGCACAGGTTATATACCCCTAAAAACCCAGACAGATTTGCGACGCAGTACGTCTGCACGTATTTACGAGGCTTATTTCTTTATTTCACTAGGGACTACCGAGTCTGCCATTTCCCAACAGCCTCGATCCCATGGTCCTCTCTCTTCCTTTCTATTTTACCTCGTCCGCCGTTACGACGTTTTTCTATGTAATGAGGAGAGTAAAAACTCAATAGAAGACTGTTTAAACTTGACATGTTTTCATACTTTCACTGCGCTTCACTGGAAAAGAGACGTGAGTAAAGAACCGTTTCAGTATTTGGAAACGAGTTATGGATGATTTATGAAGCATATATTCGTGTATCAGCTGCGTTTTAGCCTTGCTTTAACAGCAGTAATAAATGGACCGGAAAATCGATTGCTCGCTCAAATTGGCGCAAAAAACGGGCGGCAGAGACGCGCGCATGCTTTCCTGTTGAATGTTTTTTTCTTTGCGCCATTTTCCATAAATTAAATTCCGCATAATTATGTCATTCCGCAAGCCATGCACATGACATTTCTCAAACTCATTCCGCCTTTGAGCCTCACCGTTTTGAAATCGCCGTTGAATTCAAATCGCGTGCTTTTGGTTTCAGGGTTGTTAACGTGAAATTCAAGACAAACCGCATAAAATAAAGCACTGTGAAATTTACGGAAAAAGCGCTGACACAAACTTCGTTTTTGCATAGTGAAACATTTCACTTTGCTCCGCAGCAGATTCAAGAACAGAAAAGGTCACTTTTTTTCTCTCATTGAATTTCCATTTGCAGTTTGCAAATAAAAATTTGAGTTCTGTATGCAGTAATTTTTGGGTAAGAACTGATTTTTGATATTATCACCGAGAGAGACTGGAGAGAGGAGAAATAGTAACCCTTGGGGGACCCCTTGGGGAAGGCTTTATGCAAACGAAGACATGAGTGAGGTTGAGGAAAAAAAAAAGAGAAAATTAATTGAGGGACAAGAAAAACGAAGTAACAGAAACCTTGCTAACTCATACTGACTAGCTCGCAAATTTAGCTCAAAGAAAAACGCAAGATAAAGATTAATTATGGTCTACGTATTTATTAGTTCTTTTACTTGTCGGTTTATTCAATCAGTTCATTTGACGCTTTATTTATGTATTTAATTATGTATTATATTTATTTATTTATTTATTTGACTATTCGTTTATTTATCATCAGTGTTTCATTGTGTTCACTGAATGCTTTAATTATCCTTTCCATCCCCTATTTAAGTCGAAATTCAGCCAAAATTTTTAATCCACCTTTATGCTTAAAGACAAATAGTACCACGTGCAATAAGCTTCATATCATCGTAACATCATAGAATCACAACTAATCCCTGAGGGGTACTCCCTCAAATTTATAATGGGGGCGTACCGGTGAGTCTTTGAGACTCTGTATTGGACCTGTTCCAGACCAAAAGAGTTATGAATTTGCGACCCTGTCTCAGGTAGTACCATTGTGAAAATAGGGATCCTAGCTGTTCCTGTGGGCGACTCTATCTAGAATACAGTTTACATAATAACCATACTGTAAGTTTATCTTTCCAAAGTCCCAGCTTGCATGTCTTTTATGCTGCAGTGTCCATAAAATGCTTTGTTACATTTTAAATCTTACTGACTGAAACCTGGACTATATTTCTTTCTGCATTTTCTTCTGTGCCTTCATTTTTGTAAAATAAGAACCTATTTGTGTCTTCCAGAGTTAGTTTTCACGTAGTGCGATCAGCATTGCAGTGTTCTGCTTGCAGAATTTAATATGAAAGTTTTAGGCTAAATAGGTTCTTGTAAAAAGGGGTTTAAAATTAAAATTATAGCCCAACAGGTTCTTAAATTTTAGGTTCTTATTCGCGGGTTTTTGCCGTACTATCACCGATAAATTTAGTATCTTTTTCTGGGTCACTTATTGAGCCTGCCACCTCTGATATTGGCACACCAAAGTTAGGAGCAGGATTTTTAGGATATCGTGTAACAACATAATTAACCCCATAATATCTACACTTATAACCGATACGAACACCAACAAAAGCGTGTTTATCATTACTCGTAATATCATCATACACGGTAACCACCCAATATTGGGTGGGATAACTATGTATCAGTTTATCCCTCAGAAAAACGGCCAACTCTTTGTGGCTTTTCTTGCTGTTATCCTTGACAAGTTGCTCGAGTTCAACTTCGAAGAGTCTCTGAAAAAAGAACGACTTATGTAAACAATAACATAGATTTAACTGAGATTAAAGGTGAAGCTCTCGTTAATAAAGTTAAAGTTAACTTCAAACAATAATGTTGTAACAATTGCAAAGAAATGTACTTGGAGTTGAGCCAGCGATCATAGTAACTTGTCAGTGGAGAACTTAAAAAAACACGCAACCTCGATGGTTTGACACTTGAGCCCGCGATACGGTCATGTGATACCCGTTTTGACACCTGTGAAGGAACCACAACATGGAAGTGCAAAATTAGGTTGCAGGCTCCCACACTAGCTAAAAAGTTTGACATTTCACATTGTCTGCCCTGTGGTGCGGACGACGGGCGGACGTCTTATCACGCGACTACCCGAACTTCTCGGATGGATAGACACCCAAATTTTCGTAGCTATGGGTCTCCGCTTTCAACATACACAAGAGAACTTCTTCCATCATAAATTAAAAAAAAATGTACCTTCACCTTAAGCTTGCTTTAGCTTTTTACTCATGTCTCTCATTTTCGATTAGATGATTTCGTTTATAGTTTCCTGTACGCATTTCTTGCCACCAGGGAAATCAAACATAACTAAGTCTTTCGTAGCCACGCGTTTTTGTTTTTATGCAAATGATTAATACCTTGTTCACGACGCGCCAGTAATGTGTTTCGGGCGAAAGGCGGTGTACACCATTCGGCTATACTTAATCACCAGGGTTCAATTTTTTCAGACATTTAAAAAATAGCTACACTTTTAAATTACATTTGTAAATGAGGTTTCAGGCCCGTCGACTATCAACAATACCAAGCTGATGAAATTTGCCAATAAGTGAACCATCACTTAAACAGCATTCATGCGGCGATCAATCAATTCCTTTTTAGAATCGACATGTTTAAAAACTATCATATATTATCGGTATCTCTAAGCTATTCTGTTTGTAACATATGACTGTAAACAATTTTGTAACCGGATTGTCACCGTAAATCCTGTGTTAAGACCTCCGAGGGCTTCATTATTTCAAACACTTTTAAAGATGGTATCAGTTCTTCCTTAAGAACTAGAACACAAAGTGGAAAAGCTCAAGTACAAGAAGGTGAAGGTCATACAGACGAGATCCCGCGAATAAAACAGTTTCGAGCTTCCAGTTGGTGAATAAATCATCCTGGATCAGTCCACACGAAGTTTTACAGTCGTGATTTTCTGACTGATTAACACAGTGTATCAGTTATTACTGACGAATAGTAAAGGGGAGGGGAGAGGGAGCTTAGAATAGAGGGGGGGCCAGTTATTAACTTTCTTCCCCTGAGAAGAGGGGGTGGTATTAGAGAGAGGGGGTTATTTGAGAGGAGAGGGGGGTTTTAAAGAAGATTTTTGGTATTAAAGATATCCTGAATGTGATATAGATCGTTTTCACTCACGTGTCCAGCTGTTAATGCAAAATTCTTACAACAAAACAAAACGTCTACGTGATATGAACTGTTCAACCCCCGCAGGATTGATTTCTCGGCTACACCAACATGGCCGCCGCTTCCTTGGTTTGGTACACCATTGTAACCACTGTTATGTGAGACCGATCTATGAATTTACTATGCTCATGAGAAATCAATTGGCACACACCTATATATCTTTACATTGGGCAGAAGCCGGCTTTGCATCTTGATTTTCCCACACACCTCCTTTGCAAAAAATTTTAGAGTCACCTTGAAGTTTGTAATCGTCGTCACAATGAACTGTGCATGTGTCATCTTCATAACTACCTTTACATTCTGCATAACCATGAGGAACTGGGAAACTGTTAGTACACTTCTGCCTGCATCTTACCATAGTGTTACACAGTTGTCTGCTTTCTAGTAGTTCACATATGTTCGTTTCACTGCAACATGTGGATAGTAATGCATTTTATTATTCATTCAAAATATTTAACCGTTCCTGATTCCCCGGCTAATTCTTTTTAGTATATACTAAAACAGTGGATAGTGTTTTGCGCGCGCTCTGATTGGCTACTCACTCAGTGAATATCCTGCACTATTCACTGATTCACCTCCAGTTCCTCCGAGCGAGCGACGCCAAACTCGCGTAGGTTGCCAGCAAAATGCCTTCCCGGTTTGCTGCCGTAACAAACTAGGACATTTCACAACTAATCAAGCAAGCTATTTCCGAAATACATGAAGAAGGTGACGAAGTTCGGTTTGGAAGTTTTAACAGGTAAAGCTTTTTGTCTTTTTGACTTGAATTTATCGATAAAACCGGTGAAAAAGTTTTTTATTTACAAATGCAAATTAAGCTTAAGTCTTGCGTTACTTTATTTAGTTGACTTGTTCATAAATAAGCTTAAAACTAAATTTAGTAATCTTTTTTACAGAATTATTTTAAATACAAAAAGAATTCTCAACTCCTTTTGAAGAAACTCCCCCGCAAGAGCTAAACAAACGCCTTCAAATGTTTTATTTGTCGCTAAGAAAAAGCGACGACCGGGGCCTTTCGGTCATCGCGCGCAAAAATTGTAATCGTTGGTCTCGGTAAATATCCAATACTAGCCACCTCCACTTCGGTGAATAATTGTTATATAGCCAATTGGCGCTAAACATAATGGGAAGATGCGAGCAATTCAAAATTAACTCCATCAAATCGATGTTATAAATTATGATGATTGATCAACCTTGGCAGGCTTAGCGGCCTAGGTGTTGATTCCTTAGTGAACTTAAAAAGAACATGGCATTCACGAAGACGAAATAGCTAAATTTTCTACTTACTACCCGCTAAAATCAATAAATTTCTATCAATACCTTACGCGTTTCAAAACAGAAAGTCTTACTATGTCATCTTGCACTTGCAAAAGTTTACTAATCAGTTACTATTTACTTACGATGAACAAACTAGTGTGTGGTCTGTCCATCCAGTGCTGATGCCCACAACGGCAGACTTGTAGTTAAATCCAAGTGACTCGCATATCTCCGTGCTTGCAAACTGACTTGCCGTTGTTCCAATTTCCTTGACACATATTCCCTCCCAAGTACCATCGTCAGTTAATTGTTCAACTTTCCCTTCGTAGATGGTTGGCTTCGGCTGCGTCAAACGTAGCCTGGAGCAGTCTACTCGTATTTGGGGGCTAGTTGAGCTGTGCGATACTTGCTGAGGATTGTCTATACCTACACTTTTGCAGGAAAGATGTAAAATGTCTTGTGATGGGGTAGACGAAGCATTTTTCCAAGAGTCATTATGCCATAGCTGAAGCAAACCACTTTTTTTATTCCACTGAGCCACCACACTGGTAAGTCTAGCAGTGGGTTCGCAGATGTCTTCCACATAACCAATCCACTTTCCATCGCTACACACCCGTCCACCTTGTGGTATCTCCCATTCACTTTCCCATCGAGGACGGTACGTTTTACCATGAAGCACATGACTTGGTTGGTATAAGTTGGCGCATTCAAGCTTAACACAATAGCCTTCAAGGGGACTATCCATTGTTCCATACGTCATCGTATGCTTGATATAATCACAGGGAATATACGATCCATACTCAGAAGGTGGCGGTTTCGGGCAACTTAGCTGCTGACAATTAGGAAATTCTCCATCCCAAGTTCCATCTACGCACGTTCGCTCCTTTGTTCCATTCAGCAAGAATCCTTTGTGACAAACAAAATAAGCTTTTGATCCTTCTTCGTGTCCATTTGTTGAAACTGATCCGTTAGTCGGCTTTGTAGGGACAGGGCATTGTTTTATTTTCTCACAAACCGGTAGGGAGGGGATCCATTCTTTATCTAAGCATGTTGCATTCGTTTCAGAGTTAGTGTTATAAATGTTATATCCGACATCACATTTTACACTAGCAACTGTGCCATGAGGAGGGTATGATGCAGAGGTAGAAGGAGTGTATTTAACAACAGAGTGTGGAACTTTTACCGAGTGACATGGCCTTTCGCGTCCGTAGGTTATAAGCGTCTGAGAAACTGCAACTGTCGCGTCGCACTTAGTTAATGCCAAAGCGAAGACGTAGTGGGAGGCTGGGTCAAGAGATGGAACACTAAATGATGTTTGGTTATCAACCTGAGTTTCCTTCAAAGTTTCTGGTGCCAGCTGTTTGAAATGTACGACAAAAAGCTTAGTTTCTGAATATACCAAAACGTTGTCTGTTGGCTTCCATGACAAGCTTACGTCGGTGGCGTTAGCAGAAACAACATGCAAGTCAGTTTTTTCTTCGATAAAGCTGGTACCATTTCCGAGCATCTCCAGTTCTTCAGCGATAGCGGATAGAGCAAAATCTGCCCACAGAGTGTTACTGAATAGCACTGTAAGGTGTCTGTATTTTGCGTTCACATACCAGTTTCTTATAATCACAGCTAAAGGATCGTCGTCAAAAATCACTGATCCCAGGTTAGATTTATCAATTTGTAGATGTAAATCGTCTCCAATTAAGAAAATACACACGTCGGTGGAATTCAAATGAACCAAGGAAAGCGTGTCTTCAACTTCATCATCAGCGTAGTTATCGATTATTTTTAAGCCAGAAGCCTTATAGAGTAAGTACAAATCTTTTCCTTCTCCGCCAACAATTTCATCAAACCCGCCATGAGGAGTCAGTGTATCGTCTCCTTCTAATCCATAGAGCTTGTTATCCAAATCAGATCCAGTCAAAAGATCATTGTGAATGGTTCCATATACGTTTTCGACGCTCTTATAGATATCTCCTTCGGCATCAACTCCTTTTCCAAAGCCAATATAGAGATCGACAGTGACTCCCTTGCGAAGAAAGCCATCACCTTTAAACGCAAGTGTATCAATACCATCACCGCCATCAATAATGTCTGATCCGTCTCCAGCATAAATGTAGTCATCCCCAGTGTCACCATAGATGATGTCATCGCCATCTCCACCAAAAATGATATCATTACCAGCCCCACCATAAATGGTGTCGTTACCCTGTCTTCCTTCAAAAATTGTTCCTTTTTCTCCTCCACTAAGAGCGTCAGCCTGAGCACCACCTTCAATTTGCCTTGTTGTATTACTACCTGTCAGATTGTTGGGGGAGGTAAGCGATCCTAACAAATTATCAGCTTCGGCGATTATAGCATTCATTTGAGGATCAATCTTTTGCGGTGCATCAACCATTCTACGGTCGACGGCCATTACCTTTTTGTACGGGTATTGTTTGCTAATATTAAAGATTACTTTGTCTGCAGATATTATCTGAAGATGCTGGTACTTCGCACCACGGAAGTAATCCAGAATTCGAACACTGAGGGAGCTAGGTCGCGTCTTTGATGAAAGAATGGCGTCATTTTGGCCATGGAAATAAACATTAATATCTTCAAATTCCATTCCCAGCTGAAGAGTATCTACTTTGTCGTCATCTGCATAGTTGTTGATTTCATTAAACTCCCCATATCCGTGATTTAACACGTAGGTATCGGATCCATTCCTTCCTTGCAGGTGCTGATAATAATATCCATTGCCTGACCCAGGATCAAGGTAATTGTTAAGTTGGTTGCCATAGATTTTGTAGCTACAGTGACTTGATTTCAATTCAAGACGGACCACGCTTAACCAAGGATCAACGTCAAGACTATATGTTATCACCCCCTTTGCACAGCTTTTCTGCGTGCATTGGCATTCATTGCTATCCTTTGACACTTCATATGGCTCAAGTTTTACCGTTGTACTGTTGTTTATTCTCAGTGTTATTCCATCAAAGGTTCTTATTCCAAGATGCTGGTAGTCAGCCGAGTTAAACCAATCGCGAAGTACCAAAGTAGGTGTCACATGCTTTGAGGTAACCTTCAAATCTTTGTTATCCCTTTGCACGGCTAAGTTCACGAACGTTTCCTCTAAGTACACGAAATCTACTTTTTGGCGACTGTCAAAATTGTTGATTGTTGCTTTTTGGCATGTTTTCTTGACGACATAATTGTCAGTACCTTCCCCACCCTCAAGATAATCTTCTCCTCCAGTGCAGCTTAAAAAATTAGTCTGTGCATTTCCCACTATGTGGTCATTATGTGGGGAATCTGATACTGTGGCAACGTTGATGTAACCAGTTGGTTTGGTGCACTTGGGACTCCTCGTTGAATCTGTCAAATCAACACAAATTCCGTCTTCGGACGTTTTGTAATCCAACATCATTGGCACTTTGGATACAGTTCCGTCGGCGCTTGTAGATACTCTAAAGACAACGTGATCTTTAGAGGTAAATAGTATATGTCTGTACTGTTCTCCTAAGGTCCACTTTTTTATTAAAAAGGACGAAGTTTCCACATTGTTCCTATCTGATACAGAGAGGCTGGTACCCTTTGTTTTAACTTCTATCATTTCAAAGGGCACATCAAACACTACAACGTCAGTAGTGTTTGAATAATCATCTGCGTTATTGTCAATAACATCGGGGCCTTCATTTGCCCGTATGATATAGGTATCCTCATCCTTTCCTCCAGACAAGTGGTCAGCTCCACGGCTTCCATCCAGGATATTATTGACGTCATTACCGACAATAATATCAGAGTATTCTGATCCTGATACTTGTTTCACTTGACTGTATTTAATATCATGCAGTGATACTGTTTGAGCTGTTTTTGCTGCGCCTAGATCCAAAGCTACCGCCACGCATTGAACAGTGTGAATCGGGCCACTATTCAGTGTTTGTTTTGGGACGAAAATGACTCCGTCCTGGCTTCGAAATGAGACGTGACGATAATACGTCGGATCACCTGGAATAAACCAGTTCTTGATACGAATGTGATGACTCTTAGAATAAGTGACGTCAAGATCAACTCCACTCTGATTACATCGGATATTATCAAAGTTGACGTTGATGACAATGATGTCGCGCATGTTATCTTCAGCAAAATTATCGATGACTGTTCTTCCGCCATCTGATTGGATGATGAACAGGTCACTTCCTGATCCTCCAGTGACAGAGGACATTTCCGGTCCGAGGTAAAAGGTATCTTTACCACCCCGCCCATACAGATTGTAATGGTAATTCCCAGTAACAAACTTCAAATTTAGACTTCCAAAGTTACATTCTTCTTCTCCTTCCTTTTTCCCGGGTGGTTTTGCTGTTGGCTTTGGTTTTTGCACGGCATAAAATGTGTTGTCCTTGGAATTTCCATAGTAAGTTCCGTAAAGGGATTTCCCGTGGAGACTTTCGCCACAAATGACATTGTATGTCTTAACTGGAATAACAAACCAAAGCTTGGCAGTTTCGTGCTTGTATTCGAAAGTCCGGGCCTCCCCTATTCCGAGTACGATATCTTTAAGATTGGGATCAACTGTAAATGTCTTGCGTATTGTTTCATGACTGCCGCTGACATCCCCTATTTCTATAGTAGCACGATTATTATCATGAAGCCTGAAGTTGATATAGCCGCCAAAACTGGAAAGTTTCCCTTGTGTGAAATCAATTGTATCCCCACCCCCTTCTTTTTCCCCAACAATCTTGTAATAGTTATCGGGGTTTTTCAAGTCCTGAATGAGCTTTTTGTCATTTTGTTCCTGCTTTCTATAGGATTCCATCTGCCTTCTTAAGCCACCTGTTAAGAAATCTGCGGCTCCATCCTGGAAACCTTTTACTAGAGCTCCAAGAAACTCCAACCCGGCCCATGGGCTTTTCCAATTAATCTTCTCTATCTCCGCCATAATATCAATATAGAAATCATCAATAGCCATCCTTATTATTGACAGAACGATCACAAGAGGCTCAGTAACAACTTCTGCTAACGGACAAAATGTTCCTACCAGGTTCAATACCGTCGTACTTACGTCCAGTGCTAAATCTATTACACGAAGAGGCAATAGTTTGAGGTCTTCCGGGTTATTAAGATCTAAGTTGGCCAACTCTTCTATGTCTTGTTCAATAAAGTAGATATCAAATGCAAGTCCTACCCCGGGAACGGCACCAAGCAACTGTGCAACTCCTCTCTCTGCGAACCTTTCCACCTTAGTGGATAACCTCTCCAATCCTTTCTCTAAGTTTAGGCCTTTCGCCAACCCTTTAGCTGCACTACTTAGCACTCGCTGACCAACTTTAGAGGCTATCTCATTGAGACCAGTTATACCTCCAAGTGTGTGAGTGGACTGGGCGACAGTCATAGCACCTCTAAAGTTTTCACCTTCCTCAAAATATCTTCCAGCGGCAAGAACGGAGAATATCAGACCATGAACCGCTAAACCTCTGTTTATCTTGGCGTAGGTCTCACTCATACCAGCTCGTCGAGAATTTGATAGGTTGTCTTTAATAAGTTTGGGAGTAGCCAACTCTTCAGGGCTTATTTGCAACTGAACATGCTGTCGTTGGTTTGCATCACGACGGTCTACTACGTCAAATTCAACCCGGTCCTCAATAATTTTGATAGACGTCTCATCAATAGTAGCAGAATTTTTATTCTTTAGTGAGCAAGCATTACGTTTTCTTCGACGCCGTGTGCACTCTTCTTCGACTTTGTTGTCGAGAAGACTTAAATCGTGTTCTTCAGCGGAACGTTGGCGAATAAGATATGAAGCAACTCGTTCACCTACTAATTTATCCATCATTTTTCGCCCTTCCTGCGTTCCACCTTTCTTTCTTACTGGAAAATTTTGTTCGCTAAACACATCCTCTATTCTATTATAAGCTCCAACCATCTTGAGGTAGCGTACTACAGCAGCGTCCATTCCTGGACTTCTCCCAGCTTTGTATTCTGCAATCTTAGGCATATTTTTTTCAGGGAATTCCTTTTGACTCTTTATTGTTTTTGCTAACTCTGTCAAGAAGGCGACTTTAAACTCATCGGTAGGTTGAGCCGCTTCTGCAACCAGGGAAATGATCATAAATTCTATGGTAGCACGAATAGTGTCAGCGGATTCTACGGTTTTTCCTGGAATTTTCAGATCTTCTGAGAAATTAGGTTGACTGTTGAGTTTGCTTTCGTAGGCATTGAGGATAGCTTTGGCTAGCTTCTTTTGGTCATAAAATTTAGAAAGAACTTCGTCTACCATCGTGTCGTAAGTAGGTCCCCAGAGACCACCTTTCCCCTTTTTTCCTCTCTTCGTAGTACCGTGCCAATCGGCATCATTAGTTTGTACATATATTTGGTTTACTACATTTTTATATGGCGATATACTCAAACGGAATTTCCTTTTTTCTCCGCCAATTTGAATTTCGAATCTTGTTTGTCTTGCTTCCTGACTTTTGTATAATTCAGGATAAAATTGTAGTAGTTTAAACATTTCTCTAAGGGATACCTGATCGGTTTCGTGGATTGTCACAGTTAAATATGGATTTTTATCCGTTCCCATTACTTTTTCTTCGATAACATTTAGATCCTTCAATGTTGTCCATTCTTTAACAGCCTCCTCACTAGTTTTGAGCATACTCTGGGTTAATTCATATTTCAGTTTCGTTTCTTTTTGCGCCGCAATCTCTTTGCTTTGCTGAATTGTAACTTCCTGCATTGTCGAGACAATATCCTGGTTTGTCTCCTGTAGCCAGTCGGGAAGATTTAATCCTTCTAAAGTGGGCCTTTTTATAGCAATTGCAGAAAAAAGTTCTATGCCTGCTCGAAAAACCTTCTCCCTCTCCTGCGAGGTTACTGTTCCACTTGGATCAAGTTCTTGTAATACTTTTTTAAAATCTGGCTGCTTGCTTAATGGCGCTTCTAACGCCGTTAAAAAGGCACGTATTAACGTTTTCCTTAAGGGAAGCGGCAGAGTAGGGTCAGAAAGAAATTCAACTGTCTCCTGAAGATTAGAAAGATCATGTTCAACACCATCTCCTTCACGTATAACTTTTAGTGAAAACGGCCCGTGCGGTCTTTTAGTGAGTTTAAATGTTGCAATTTTTTGTCCAATTGGTATTTCGAATTGTGTGGGGTTTTGTTCTTTCTCGTATACAACCGGGTAAAAGTGCAGATGGTTAAACGCTTGTTTCAAAACAATTTGATCACTTGATCCAAATTTGAAGACTTTTCCTCTTCCGGGTATATGCGTTTCTGTTATTGGCATTCCTTTCCTCAGAAAATCTCTAACCACTGCTCTGTCCATTGATTTCTGAACAACCGCTCTTAAGGCTTGGGGTACCCCCACCGTTGCTCTAACGTAAATGATAGTGTACGAGAAAGCAACTGTAAAGAACAAGGCCACCACAGCGACTTCCATGTTCTGAAAACCTCTAGAGCAAAGAAATATAAATAAATAAATAAGTCCGTTATTTACCCTCTGCAGTATTTATAGCACTAACGCTAGTTTGGCCGAGCAAACACCTCAAACAAATAATTTAAATTGAACTTAACAGGGTTAAGAATCCCAACTGGCCGGAGGCAAATCAGCTGGCTATTTACCAGTTGGTCGAGGATTTGAGCACGGGACTACCGTGAACAAATCCAGCTAACGCTCAGAGCGGGACCTGAACTCTGGGCCTCCAAATTGCAAGTCCAGCGCTCTAACCACACAGCCACGCTGCCCCCTAAAAGGAATAAACTATCATATCGGTTTTTACCAAACGGGATTAGATTCAAGAAAAAAAATGTAGTAGCAAGGGTATAAGAGAAGGAATGATTAACGAAAAAAAGAGGATTTTTGCATGAACTTTGTAGGAAAATGGATCAGACCCGTACCGGAGAGCTTCCTTTAAAATGGAAAAAAATATCAGCCCATTAGCAACAATACTTGGGAAATTTTCTTCTCGTATATTTTTTAGAAAGTTTGAAAGAGAAACTAAGCGAAAAAAACATGAATTAAAACGTAGGGCTCAATTTGGGTTAAAAAAGATGAATAAATTAATAACACTTGCTTTATCTATAACAGGTAACATTCAAATACGATTAACGAAGTGGTAACAACCGTGAAAATTCCTGTTTAGTACAGGTTTTCAAACGCAAATCACATTTTGGATAGCCTACGTTTTCAACAGTTTATAACAGAATGATCAGTGTTATCTGTACTTCTTTATGTTAATTTATGCATTATTGATTGATTTCAGTCCAAATATGAGCATTGAATGCAAAAAAAATATTACCACATATAACCCACTTCTATAGCTGTGGAATTTCCTTCGTTTAAGTTGGAGAACATATGCATGAAGTTGAGGTAGGTATTTAGGTAATCTTCAGCTAAATTCAACTTCACTATCACTTGCAGCTGCTAAATAAATGGTAGACGAAAGTGGGATCTCTAATATTTGATAGATTTTAATTCCATCTTAAGAACTGACCTTCAGAAGCAGTTGTCTCGTACCTTATGGCCCATACTAAATTGGGAAAATCATATGCCCGTCGCACATTTTATTGCCAAAAAAATGTTCAGCTCTTCAAATTTTGGCTTCATGTACTACTGATGAGCTTATTTTTGAACTTGTCATTTTCATAGGTACAGTGAAGCCTCTATTAAGCGGACACCTTCGAGACCTTTCCAAGCGCCCGCTTAACAGAGGGTGTCCGCTAAAAAAGGGGTTTGTAAAAATTGCGCAATGTTTGTTAACGATTAACTTTCAACTATTACTCTGTACTGTGATAAAGTTCCACGTTGTTAAGGAAGCTAAGGAAGCTGTGCAGTACTTTGTGCAAGACTTTCGGTCTAATCTACAGTTTATTGACAGCTAAATGTATTGATTTATCTTTATTAATCGACTTCAGTACGTATTTTCAAGGGCGTAATCCAATACCACTATTGTCAATTCAGTCCCTTGTCCGCTTAATAGGGGTTATTAACCACAGAAATTAGCCACGTCCGCTTAATAGCGGGGTCGGCTGACTAGGGGCTCATTACAAAGGGAAATATTAGACGTTAATTTCGGGACCCGGCTTAGTGTTCGCTTAATCGGAGGGTGTCCGCTTAATTGGGGGTCCACTTAATAGAGGTTTCACTGTATTACAATTATTTGCAAGGTTCTATATGCATCTTTTCAATCCTTTAAGCCCCTATATCCACAGATATATTTTCCTGATCGATATCCGCACATTTCGATTGCATAAGAAAAAGTGGTTGACTCCTCGATTTATTGATAAATGATCATAGCAATCTCTCTTTTGTGATTCATTTTATTAATTCTCATGTAACTTTAATCATGGTTGTGTACTGATATCGCTGGGAGAAAACTGATGTTGGTCACTCTTGGAACACACAGGGTTAATAATATTTGATTCATTTGTTTTATTGTATCCGTAAAACAACGGTTGACTTAATCTAACTTTACCTGAAGCAGGTCAGGATACCTGTAGTTATGACTGTCACAGTGGAAGTTGTCATTGGGGCACCTAACGAAGGTGAATCAATTTAAGTTTCTGGGAAACTGCCCACCTACCCCTCCCCCACGCCAACATAAACACTTACCTCTCTCCTAGGGCAAAATGTTCGCTTAGGGGACGGGTAGTTGGGCAGTTTCTCAGAAACCTAAATTGATCCACGAGGGGGAGTCCCAAATGCATTGGAAAAGATCCAAATACAAATTCTGCACACTGATCTCCATACGTTTCTTTTATGAATAGTGGAGAGAATTTGGTTTAAGATCAAAGTATTCTCCCTTTGGTGATCAATTTAGTAATTCTCATAACCTTTATTCTTGATGTTCTGCTGATGTTGTTAAGAGAAAATTGATGTTGGTCACTCTAGGGACCTAAAGGGTTAAAGCTATCCAGAGCGCTTTTAGATCTCTACTGAAATGTATTCTATGTGGCGCTGTCAAATATGTATCAGTTCGGTCATCCTAGGGGGGACTTGAGGCTTTTCGAAATCACAAATTAGGCTTTAGTGTTATTTTCCCGAAAAATTTAGCCGCAGTTAAACGTTTTGCGAAAGTGAGGATTGTTCTAAATTCCTCGGCTCCATCAACATTTTTTAATCACAAAAATTTGAAGTCTCATTTTTCAACGAAAGGAGTAAAATGTGAAAAATTAAGCTTCAGAAAATCGTAGGGAATTTTTTTTTTTAGAAATTTATAGCTGTATTTAAGCAATAGAAAATTCTTAAGGCAACATTTGCTTCTCGGAACAGATACTTTACAGGAAACAGTCTTTGTGTGCCCCTGAAGAGTTAAGTTTCGTCTTCAACTGCGACAATCCTCTTTAAATTCAATGGAATAAACTATCATGATTAACAATAAAAATGTTTATTATTTCTTTACTCCAGTAAAAAAAAAAAACCTACTTCAAATTAACAGCGTTCATTTCAGGCTGTTTCAGCCATTTTAAACTCATCCTATTACACCATAAAAGGCCAGTTGTTTGATCCAACTCCGCTTTGAAAAATTCATTTTTTGCAGTGAATTGATGGGATATAGGTTTATCCACGAAATTTTATAGAGAAACTAACGGTTGCGAAATTTCTTCAATTCCAGATTACTTTACCGGCTTCAAAAGAAAAACTGCCAAAAGAAACTGGCGAATAAACCACACGAGACATAACCTTAAAGATATCTACCTTAAATAAAATTATCAGTCAGTGGTTTATACAAGATTTCCAGTGACAATTTATCAAGGTTAATCAAAATGGATTCTTAGAAGAAAGAAAAAAGGAAGAGTGCACAGAACAAGAGAAGTATAATTAGCTTTTTTAGAATAGAAGACTCCAATATGACACGCAAGCAAACAAGCTATTGACTATTCGTCAAAGGAACAATTGAAATAGTTACATAGAAATTATCCGTCTACTCTCACCGTGATAAAAGAAATTCCTATCCACTTACCGTCACAGGCTTCAAACTGTGTTATGTACCAGTGAACAATTTGAGTATTTTGACAAGGCTAATGCGCTTTGATCTCTTATATCACGAGAAAAAAGTGAATCCTACATACAGAGGTCCAACGTGAAAACAGACTGAGAACAGGTACTACATCAGGTTAAGTAAAAGCGGAGAAGAACGAAACGCGGCCGGGGGGAACGTGCGTCTAACTTTAAGTCTATTCTAAGGCCGCAGGTGGTTGTGATCCGCCAGGTGATTACCCGTCTGTCAATACGCAGAATGTTGGAAGCTTTAAGAGTCCTTTCCCGGGTTGGGGGGGAGGGGGTGGGGAGGGAGGGGAGGCGCATCCTTATTAGAGGCTAATGAGGAAGAACCGCTGGAAGGGGTGTCACATTTTCAAGACTGGATTGATTATAATGGAGTCGCATTTTCAGATAAAGTTACTAGAATGGGGTAGCGCATTTTTTCCTATCCACTTACCGTCACAGGCTTCAAACTGTGTTATGTACCAGTGAACAATTTGAGTATTTTGACAAGGCTAATGCGCTTTGATCTCTTATATCACGAGAAAAAAGTGAATCCTACATACAGAGGTCCAACGTGAAAACAGACTGAGAACAGGTACTACATCAGGTTAAGTAAAAGCGGAGAAAAACGAAACGCAGCCGGGGGGAACGTGCGTCTAACTTTAAGTCTATTCTAAGGCCGCAGGTGGTTATGATCCGCCAGGTGATTACCCGTCTGTCAATACGCAGAATGCGTGAAGCTTTAAGATTCCTTTCCCGGGTTGGGGGGGGTGGGGAGGGAGGGCGCATCCTTATTAGAGGCTAATGAGGAAGAACCGCTGGAAGGGGTGTCACATTTTCAAGACTGGATTGATTATAATGGAGTCGCATTTTCAGATAAAGTTACTAGAATGGGGTAGCGCATTTTTGGGGTAAGACACTTTTTCACAATTTTTTAGCGCTTACCAAACGTACCAGAATGTTTGTACTGTAGGCGAAAAGTAAAGTGTTCTTCAATTCAATTGAAAAAAAAAGGGTCAGTTCATTTTAGGATGATCTATTTAAAAGATTGATAAGATAGATACAAAAATAGAACGTGACTGAGTTGGGATCGAGAAAACTACATATTCTAACCCAAAAATGACGTGGTCTATAACTTCGAATAAGTGGTCACAAAATAGACTATAATGGAGTAGGGGCTCTGAGACAGAACAAGATAAAAGCTTACTAGAACTATATTCTATGTTGCTATATTTGTTCTTTCTTTATCTATTTATGTAGGGATGTTTTATTCCCTCTGAAGTGAGCCTTATTTTTGGCAATTGCAGCCAAAAGGTTTGTGGTTGGTCGAAAGGCCATTT